TTCAACGCTTGAAACATGAGATTGAAGATCTCAGTCGGGAAGCAGCCAACGCGGCAGAGAAACAAGAGAAACTGCGCAGACACTTTGACAAGAGGGGTGAAAGGGCGAAACAACTTTCCGAGAGATTATTCCACCACCACGATCGAATCATTCGCATGCTCGAGCAATTTGGCTACTATGTTTCCCGACAGGAAGACACGCTGGTAATTCAGCGCGCAAGTAAAGTTAATGCCAGCGCCGTGCTCAGTGGCAACGAAGGGTCAGGGCCAGGCACTGCTATGAAGCGAACCATTTCCGGTTCCACGCCAGCACAACACTACTCCGACCCGTCGGACCTGGACACCCTGTATTGGACGTCCGACAATGACCTCACCTCTGAATCGACAAAATACTCTGGCTTCCTCTCCGCCCTGTCGAGATTGGACATGGACAGCACGATCGACCTGATCACAAAGCGCTACAAGGACGTCGAAACGCTGGCGAAGAAATATCAGAAGGATTCTCGTGCCTACCGAGAACGAAATCACCGGTCTCAGGCCGAGGCGCACGATAAAATCGCATACAGGAGCTTCAAGGAGGGAGACTTGGCCTTGTTTTTACCGACGAGGAATCAAGCAACAAGACCCTGGGCGGCATTCAACGTTGGGGCACCACATTACTTCTTGAGAGAGCAGGATGCACATAAATTACAATCGAGAGACTGGCTGCTTGCACGAATCACGAAGATAGAAGAGAGAGTGGTGGATTTGAGTAGGAGCATGCGTGGTAACACCTCGTCTTCAACCGTGGGTATAGCGAGCTCGATCGTGGATGATGGTGGGTCGACCCGGAGTGTTGACGATGAGAATCCCTTCGAGTTGTCAGACGGGCTGCGGTGGTATATGATTGATGCCCAAGAAGAGAAATTGGGCGCGCCTGGCACACCTTCGGTGGGAAAGTCAACCGTGACAGCGAGCAATGTCGAGGTTAAAGGACATATGGGGCTGGGCAGGAAGGAGCACAAGTCAAGCATGGGCATGGGTGGCGGCGGCAGCGCCACGACGACGATGGTCACCAAGACGCTGACCAAGAGCCTGGACAGTCGGCGGTCGAGCTCGGGGAGTAAAAAGAGTGTGGATCTCAAGGGCAAGCTTCAGGACCGGAGCACCGCTAAGGACGGGATGCCTTCATCGAAGCTTACACCATTGGCGCCCATTTCAAGCGACACGGACGTTGAGCAAAGGCGGGCGCCTCCACACGATGCAAGCGCCAGAACTGTGCCCATCCCGGACGATGACGCCCACGCGGATGCAGACGCAGAAAACGAGACTGACGAGCCTGAGGGCCGCAATTTGGCAGGCTCGAGTCAAGACCAAGGCCCGGGCCAGGGTCAGGCGGGGAATGCGAGTGTCCCCAGCATCGTGCGCCGTCCCACTGAAGCGAGTCAGACGGATCGGGAGGATGCACAGGTTTTTGAAGTGGTGAGGCGAGATCTTCTTCTCGGCCCATAAGCCAGAGGAAAAATTGCAGCAACTGATGAGAAAAACAGAGTGGTGACCACCCTCCTGGGTCTGAGCTTGCGGGCCCGGCCGCGATAGCAAGACATCCTCAAGGCCTTGCAGCTGGCTACGCTGCCCTCAGAGCGATGCAGAATGAACCGCCTCTGACTGCGCAACGACTGAACAAGAGACCGACGTATTCAGCCCCGAGTCCGAGAAGTACATCACAATCCCCCTATAAAGCGAGGAACCAGAACGTAACGACGCCAACAGCAAGTCCAGCGAGGAATCCTGCAGGTGTTGCAGGAGCTGAGACTGCTTCGACTCCGTCACCTCCGGCGAAGCCGAGGGAGAGACCTTGGGACAAATTGTTCAGCATGGAGTTTCGGTCATAGTTATGGAGACTCGTCTATAGCAATGGCTGTGACAAGAAAACTATGTAGAATGTATCGCGAGGGGGCCTGATGCAAGCGGTAACTTTAGGGGAATGGTTGTCGTGGTTCTGTAGCATTTTGACAGTCGTAGCCGTGACCACGGGAGAGATTGACGCGTATTGGAAGCAAAATCAAAAGCTCTATTTTGAACATGGCAGTTGGGGACGTGGCTTGTCCGTTGTCATTCATTTAGAGGCTCTTCCTCCACCGAATTGAGACAGTTGCATGCCTTCACTAATAGAACATCCTTGTTTATACCTCGTACTTGGTGGTCTGTGTGTTGCGCAGCCGAAATGCATCACGTGATTACACGTGACCATATCACTGACGCAGCTCGTGCGTGCTCATGATCCTGCAGGACAGACGAGGCAGAGGTCGCCGGTTATTCGTTCTACCCGTCTCGCACATCGCACATCGCACATCGAGCATCACACGTGACGTCAAGATTTTGTGGCCCGGGCCACAGGCGGGCAGGGAAGGCAGGCGGGCGGGCGAGCCATCCCTCCATCCATCCCTCCACCTGCCATCCACCATGCATGCATGTACGAGGTATGCTTTTTCGTCAACAAGACAATAATTTGCAGCCCTGGCATGTCTCGTGTCTGGGTAATTTCGTGAGAGGACAAGGAGGTACCTGTGGACCGGACTGGAAACAAGGTTTTCTTTAAACTCGTACCTATAGCTACTTGGTATCGAGGTATGTATGTATGTACTCGGTACAGGCAGGCAGACGGGACAAGTGATACCAAGGTCCAAGGTCCAAGTGACCAGGTACCGAGCGAGCAGGCAGCGAGTGCAAAGGCAAGTAGCTTTTTCTTCACGAGTTTATTTTCCTGTGCTGTGCTGTGTTGGGTTGGGGGGCCTTGCCCTCTCGTAGGGTGCTGGGCATTAAACTCCGCGGTAGTGGTAGCGGGAAGAGTGCAAGGTCCGTCAATCCGTATGTGGACCGTGGACCGTGGCGTGAAGAATGCTGTAGCGTCACGTTGGAAATAAAATGCGCGCACCAGAAACACCTAAAACCTACCTAAATAAATGCTTGAGAGGTGCTGGTGTGCCAAGATACCTTTGCAGCAAGGTCCGTAGCCTCGATAGGTACAAGCACCACAAGTACGGGTAGGAAGACTCTCCCTGCCGCTGCATCCTCGGATACAGCAAACATCCAGAGTCTGTCTACTCGGTAACCTTCATTTCCCATCCTTGGTGACCTTCAATTACACCATGGGAAAGCCAGAAAGTTTATGTCCAGAAATGCAACCACGGCTTGAGTTTGGTGTGGTGGTGGTGGGTACGAGACGGAATTGAAACCCATCTGCTGGGGAATAATAATGAAGCAGTAACAAGGGGGCTGGGATACCAAGATATTGGCGGCAAGTGAGCAGAAGGAAGGGGAGATGAGTTCCACGAGCAAAACACCTGATGTATCCCAAGCGGCAAGAGTTGCTGTCCGAAAGTGGATGTTGTTATGATCTGAGCTTTGGCCTAGTCTGATTGATTGCTGCGCACGGCAAAGATATAACAAGCAAATATGGTGCAAATCGCTCCGGGAGAAAGGATTGTTGCAGCATGGCGCCATCACTATCGTCAATGATTGTCCAGTGGCTGCAATTGAGGATCAAAGAAAGTGGGTTCCCTCAAGGTAGGGAGGTGGGCAGGCGTTATTGCGGGCCTGAAGAAAAAGGGCGCAGGTACATGAGCTGTAGTAGGTGGTGCTGAGCAACAAGGAGACGAAAAAGATAGGAGAAGAGAGTGGAGAGGTAGAGGAATCTGCGCAAGAGAGAGGGGGGAGTGAGCGAAGCCGTGGGTAGTAGGTAGAGTGATGAGATCAATAGGTTGATTGATTGATTGATTGATTCAGCTGGTAAACCACCGAGCCATGAGGAGTTGAAGAGGGGGAAGGAGGGAGTTTGGAGAGATGTGAGTGGATGGAAAAGGAGGAGTGAACTGGGTAAGATCAAAACATGGCAATGATTGTACGAGGAGCAGCTTTTGGTTGAACGGGGTTTGGCGGGTTACGGAGTCAATGGTATTAGCTTCAATCATAGCAACTTCAGTAGTGGTTGATGATTGCGTGGTGCAGTGGTGCAAAGTCACCAAAGTGGTTTGTAAGTGGTGCAAGTGGTGCAAAGCAGGGCAGCGGCAGTCCAGGATCAACTCTCCAAAGGGCCAAAGGGGGGGGGGCCCAGCAACCATCCAGGGCCCAAGGAGGTAAGGAGGAGGAGAAGGAGAGGGAAGAGTTCGGGGAGTCTGGCCCTGCCCGCCTTCTCTCTCCTTGCTCTCGCCCTCACTCGCTCTTGTCTTATCCGCTCACTCACTACTACCACCACTCGGCTCACTACTCCCCTCTCAGTACGTACTACTACCCAGTCGTAGTAGGTCAGCCCAGCCCTCTCTGCCCATCAGCCCTCAGCCTCCCACCCTACCCTACCCTCCCACCTCCCAACCCTTCTCCCATACATTTTTCCTCCTACTACCACTCTCCCTCATACACTGTACTGTGTGTGCATACACTGTGAGCGCCGCTGCCAACTGCGTTACTACTACCACCAAATCACCCTCATACACTGTAAGTACTCACTTTCTTCTCTTGACTATTTTTCACCCTCACCCTCCACACCACCCATACTCTTCTTCCATAGCTCGCGCGCAAAATTGCGATGCAAAATGCTCTTCTCATCATCCTGTTGCACTGTTTGCTCCCTTTTGCGACCTCGTCGCCGCCGTCTCCAGCACCCAGCGCCCTACAGGTCTTGACCACCACCACCAACCACTCCCCAGCTATCTACCCACTTCATTGACGCGTTTTCCTTGCGTCGGTGAGTCCAAGCGCATTCCAATCGCCCATTGTTGCTCTCAAAACACGCGTTTGGGACGCGAATGCACTCTTCCAAAACAATCCCAAATCGCCTGCGCTCGGTCCTCCCAGCTTGCACCTACACCACCCGCCTCTGTTTCCCTCTCACCTTGAGTGTGTTATTCGCGTTCTCTACGCGATTGTCGTTCGGCGCTTGTTATTGCGCGCTTCCCCAAAATCCTTGGTTTTTCTACCACTCGATCCTCTTTCTCGTTGAACTCTCACTCTATCGGTACCATGGCTAAACAACGCGATACGCAGACTGCCAGCAATCCCGCAACCGCGATCAACCCGAAGCAATCTTCCACAACCAAAATGCCTAAAGCGAGCGCAAAGAATACCAAGGCTAAGGGCCGTGGAGCCGAGAAGAAGAAGAAGGGTTGGTGCATACTTTTGCTCATCGTGAAAACCTGACTGACTTGATGCGCAGACCCCAATGCTCCCAAGCGTGGCCTCTCTGCCTACATGTTCTTCGCCAACGAGCAGCGTGAGAACGTCCGCGAGGAGAACCCTGGCATTAGCTTCGGTACGCCCACTCTCCTCTTGGGCAGATGACCCCATGAGCTAACAAGACCACAGGCCAGGTCGGCAAGGTGCTCGGTGATAAGTGGAAGGCCCTGAGCGACAAGCAACGCGAGCCGTACGAGAAGAAGGCCGCCGCCGACAAGAAGCGATATGAGGACGAAAAGGCGAAATACAACGTGAGTGACGATGCCTTCCTCCCTGAGACAGGGACATGCTCTAACAATACACCAGGCTGGCGAAGACGATGATGACGAGGACTAAATGGTCTCGCGCCCACGACGCGTGACCCGAGGTCTTTCGCAACTGCGTTCAAGGTCCAGTGGGATATTTCTCTTTTTCTGTCATCATGTTTTCACTAGCAATGATCGGCTGGGAGGCAGGGGTTATGGGAGTCAGTTATGGACAGGGTTGGTATGCTTCCGAAGTGCAGCTCACGGCTGGAATCATTGACCTTCGGAGATCAAGTCATGTTGTCGTGAGGTGAGGCACATCATCCACCATCATCATCACGATCACGAACCGGAAAGCTGAGCTGCAAACATTGCATAAGCATACTATGATCCGTGCTGTATACTAGCTTTTTATGCAATGCAATGTCTGGCAAAACGATCCAATTGATAACTTATTGCTGGTTCTCCAGTAGTGATTTGTTCAGTGTTTTGTTGACTCGCCCAACGTGCCTTGGTCCGTGTATTCCAGTTGGTCGTGGACATGCTTGACCAGCTTTGGAAGCTTGAGCCATCCATCACACTGTGCTGAGAGCATTAACCGATCCTTCTGGCGGACGTTGTCGCGTTTCAGCCCCCCGTTTCCCTACCACTCTATTTGGGCTTGGCCACAGGCAGCAGCAGCAACAGCAGAAGGGCGCAGTTTGACTTCTTCCAACCTCATAAAGGCTCAGATGATGGCTCTCTCTTCCATCTTCATTGCGATGCATCTCGAGTCGAATGATATTTGAGGCCCTGAACACGTACGGCTGGTACATATTCTAGACGAGGTTTGTGTGTATCGGAATCCTCCTCAACACTCACCACAATCATTCCAAGCGTCCTCATTGCTGAACGTGCAATTTGTCACCTGGGTAATTTCCCTGCGAGAAGAACGGATCTCATGCTGACGGAGGGCGTGCGTGAGCGACTCGCGAAGTTCAGGTAGGAAGCATCTCTTTTTTCCAACAACTAAGTAGAACCACGTCGCCCCGCATAAAAAGCCTCGCTTCGCTCACCTGCGACTGTTGCTCCTGGAAAAGCGATCAGAGAAAATGTTTGGACGCCCTAACTTAGGCAGCAAAATCCTCTGCCTGCAGCATGCTGCATGAGATCTGGCCACCTTCGTCGAAGAAATCCGATACTGCCAGACTGCTCCAGTCTTGTCCCTGTCTTTCCTCGACGGGTCGCAGAAACAGGACAAAAATTGACATCTCTGAGGGGGTCGCAAGGGTCATTTAAAAGCTGGTACGAAGCATGACAGTGGTCAATGGTGGACAGCCTAAGGGCTTGTGCTGCGACAGTTCATGCGCACGCTGGCCGGTGACAAATCGGCGTTGTGTCTAGGTATGCATCGGTCCCTTCAACCTTCGGCTTCGCCTGCTGTCCGCTTGACACGTCAACGGCTTGCATGAGCTTTGCCTCCGCGCGAATTACGAGATTGTCAGTTCCAGCCCGCTCTTATCCTGGGCCCGCATCTCAATTTCAGCACAAAAGGAGCCTCTCCACTACATCTCGAGTCGATCTGGGCTTCTTCTCATCTGTCAGTCTGATTCCGAGGCGCATCCCCCCCGTCTATCATGCATGGATCTACTTCTACGAGAGGAGGCTGGGAGAGCCCAGGACATTGCCGAAATTCTCAGCACGATCCGGAGCAGCGATCAAGATCATGAGCAGGACATCACCTTGGCCATCACGGGATTGAACGGCTTGAGCTGGGCACTGCGGGAACTCAATAACCAGATCGACGCGGTGAGCGGCAAGGTCACCTCGACCTTTGCAGGCGACTTGAAACTCCTCCAGCACAGTGTCGCCTTCACTCTTCAAGACGTATGGACCATCCTAGGCAAGTTGCCTCGTGTCCCGGTCGCGGCAGACTACCAAGATGCCTGGAAAGAAGTCGCCCGATATTGCATGAACATGGGAAAGCAGACCCTTCACACCCGACTAGAAACATATAAACTCTTCACCTACTCGCTATGCAAGGTTCTCTCAAGGTATGGTACTCCTAAAGCCCTGAATTGGCCGTCGCTCAGGAGCATTTTTGGTTAGGCAATCCTTCAATCGACGACACCTCGAGGATTTGCGACTCGAGATTTTTGACCTACAAACCCTACAACGCGAAGACAGACGATTAATTCAAGCTTCCGAGACCTTTCCTACTCTTTCTGTGGTACCAGTCCACCAAGGTCACTCAGTCCCTTTCGCTAGTGGCCATGCTTGGTATTGACGAGCAGCAGTCATCAAACCTCTCCCGTCCCATGAACGGGTAAGACCAGAGCCTCAACGACCCATGTCGCCGGCAACCTCCCAGGACAGTTATGAGACATTCCAACCCCAAGCGGCTCCCAGTCCGCCACCTCTGTCCCCAGTTTCTCCTGCTTCACCCGTCACCACCTTTTCCACTCTCAGTCAAACCTCGAGTGTCGACTCGGAAACCAATCACTGGGCGACCAAGATATTCAATAATCTGCCCAGTACTCCTCTGGATGTGGACCCAAACCCGTGAGGACAATGACCTTCCGCTGGCTTCAGACATTCACTTACCCATTTGCTTCTTCAACAGATCTTGCTGTTTCGGTGATGTGGATGCACGCTACCGCAGGCGACCGGATCCAGAATATGAAAGGATCCTCCAACTGTAAGTTTTGTCGAGTGTTTGAAGATGGAAGACTCACCGTGGCCAGAAAATTCCCGGGCGGACTGAGAACGAAATTCTATTGGCGTGCTCGCGATTACCGCGTCAAGCTCGTCTGCGAGTGGCATGACAATCGAAAGAACCTTCGAATGTCTTGCTTTCCTCTGAGTGAATTACACATACGTCGCTCTGGGTCATTGCTGTACCTTTGTTGTCCGACAGTTCGAGGTGCTAGCACTTGTTGGACAAGCCTTAACTTCACTTCGTACGAATGTCAGTGCTCAAGCTCTCCTGCTGGGGATGTCGCTGATCGTTTCAGGGCTCGTCATCTTCCATTGTACCTTTCTATCGCTTCGTTCACATGACAGCACCTCGCAATTCCGCAACATCGACCATGATCTTGATGGCGAGATTCTCCATTTTGCCGGGTGAGCTGCTGAGATGCTCTCGTCGATGAGGTCGAAACTGATCCAGTCAGGGCCATCCGTGACGGTGGGTACCGGCATGTGCTACGATTGTACCGTGACAAGAGGACGGACGCCGTGCGGCTCGAAGCCGCTGTCCTCGACAAAGAAATGAAAGAGTAAGCTCTCACTGCCGCCTCGGAGAATTGCAAAAAGCTGAGTTTTCCAGCAGCACACCCATCTGGACAGCTTTTATCACGCACAAAATCACCTCGCCTAGTTGGTTTCGATGGCCTAAAAACAGCTCCACGATTTATCTTGCTGAACTTCAACGACATGTCTTCTCTTCCGAATACTCACCCCACGTCCGCGCAAACGGCGAGCATCTTCTTGACTTTGAAGTTTTCACAGGTAGGTCGTTCCGAATACGCGCTCTCCTTGTTCGATGGGTGAGTGGCTGACTTTGTATAGATGCCGAAGACTTTGTCAAGACGCTCAAAGATTTGCGCGAGGACATTCGCAGACCGAAACCGACCAAAAACGTACGAGTCCCTGTGACATGACCTGACGACCATAATGACATGACTAATGACACTGACGATGAAATGGGCGGCCATATTTGTGTGAGCTTTTCGACGGTGCGGCAAAATGGAGGCCTCGTGCCTTTGGATACCCCTGCCTTTACCTTTCTTGCCATGTCTTCTCTGCTCAGCCTGTTGCTTTCCAGACTTCTGTTTGATCGCCTTGCCTAATTCCCAGCGGAAAAGAGACTAACTGGTGGAGGGATGCCGATATTGTTTGTTCTTTGTTGTTCTTCTACTTATCTGTTCGGTGGTCTGCGCGGGTACTCATTCCTAGCAAAAAGTCGACACGCCCTTGCTTGGGATCCTACCAGGCTCAAAATCGTGCATTCATACAGCAGTGTGTGGCTCCCCGACTCGACCCACTTCCATATTCTACCTCTTTATATATATCAAGAAGTGTTGCTGTTTTCTAGCCACGGTTAAGTACTTCGTACTGGCGAGCTGGCTGTGCGGCGTAGATGCCGAGCAAGACGCCTTTGCCCGGCCAGATTCCGCGAATCGCTTGACAGATCAGGCTCCTTGCTCCAAGAAACGATCGGAGATTCTTGTCTTTCTCTCCACCTCGATCCTTACCCGTTAATCCTTTATCCGATTTATCTTCGCGTCATTTGCGTACGCCGTACAACGGACATTAGCCTTCGCACCAGAACTATCTCCAATTCCTCCTGTTAATATTAGCCAGAGTCGAGGACCTGGAGAAGTCATGGCTCCTCTTCTTTCGCTGTTCGGTGCTGTCTGCGGTTTTGAAGTTGTGGCTGCTGAGCGTCATGTCGCAGCCAGAAGAAGCGTCTCCTCGGGGAACCGAGAACGCCCTGAGCATCGAGGCACCGCCAGCGACCACCCATCAGTATAGCGACCCGAGCTCGGGAAGGACGTTCCTCCAGAAGGTGTACGCCTGCCTGACCTATGTGCCATCGAGGTGTCGCTATGACCCCGAGAAGCCGTTTCAGTTCTCCATGGCATTGAATGTGCTCTTTGGTAGGAAAGAAACCTTGCCCCGGATAAATCACACGAAATTGACAGTCTGTAGCATTCGCCGGTTGCTTCACCGTGGCGAACCTCTACTACACCCACCCAATCCTCAACCTCCTCGCAGACGACTTCCACGTTACCGACGAGCAATCTTCCTATATCCCGACTCTCGCACAAGCCGGATATGCGGGTGGATTGCTGTTCTTGTGCCCGTTGGGCGACTTGGTCAAGAGGCGGCCGTTTGTGCTTTGGCTGGTCTGGTTTACTGCGACCTTGTGGTACGCTGAGCGAGATCCTTTCGGGTGTGGTATGGCCGAACTGATGTTCATTACAGGATCGGCCTCTGCGTCACCAAATCGTTTGCTGCTTTCGGAGTTATCACGTTTATTACAAGTGTGACAACTGTGACACCTCAGTTGATGCTGCCACTGGTCGGCGACATGGCTCCTCCTCACCGGCGGTCGACGTCTCTGTCTATTGTCGTGTCGGGGATGCTGCTGGGAATGCTAATTGCCCGTCTCTTGTCCGGCGTCGTTGCTAGATACATCGGTTGGCGTTATATTTACTGGATCTCATTCGGATTGCAGTACTTCATCCTGATTTTGCTGTATCTGTTCATGCCAGACTATCCTTCAACAAATCCGGGCGAGAATATCTGGAAGAAGTATCCAATGTTGCTGTGGGATATCGCGAAGCTCGTGGTCAAGTATCCGGTTTTGGTCCAGGCATGTCTAGTCGGAATGTTCACCGCGACGACCTTTACCAGTTACTGGACAACCCTTACTTTCCTCCTTGCGGGATCTCCATACCATTACAGTTCACTGGTCATTGGTCTTTTTGCTCTGATCGGCATTGGCAGCATGTCCTGGGGTCCTATTTTTGCCAGAACAGTCATGGAGAAACACCAACCGCTCTTTTCGGTCATCATTGGCGAAGTTATTTGTTTGGTCGGTGTGGTCATTGGGACATATACCGGCAAATTTACGGTGGCTGGCCCCGTGATTGAGGCAATTTGCATCGATATTGGCCTGCAGACCAGCCAGATCGCCAACCGGACGGCCATTTATAAAGTCGCGCCGCTGGCCAGGAACCGAGTCAATACAGCTTACATGGTCAGCGTTTTCGTGGGCCAGTTGATTGGCACCGCCGTGGGGAACTCGCTTTATGCTGATGGTGGATGGATCTCTTCCGGGTCGGCAAGTGTCGGGTTTGTTTCTGCGGCGTTGGTTGTGTGTCTCTTACGCGGTCCTCATGAACAAGGATGGATAGGTTGGCGAGGAGGATATAATATGCGGAAAGGAATGCCAAAGAAACCCCAGAAGACCTCAAGTGATACGGAGGCTGTCCAGATCCAGGAAGCGCCTCAACCATTCAGCGAGGAGAAGACGAAAGAAGCTGTACAGGGGGAGAAGGAAATCGAAGTGCAGATTCACAATGAGCACCACGGAAATGATCACAGTTCTCGATCCTCGCAACGTACACTCAGTGAAGAGATACAGCCTTACAGGGAGAAGGATTAGGGTGGACAAACCGGAAGTCCTTGCGAGGCATGTCGTTGAGACTTGCACCGGAAGGTCATTCCTGACTCCAGAGGGCTGGACGCAACAGGACCTACGTGGAATCGCAACCCAATGTCCCAGCGGCTGAGTCGCCTGTGATCCAAAAACCCATTGCAGCTCGGCAGACAGCTTGCCGCACATCATCTCATCGAATGGTAAGTCGCCAATGAAGAGGTCGCTGGGACCTACACCACACTGAGCACGTGGTCACATACTCTCGGTGGCATTGCTATTGATCAATGGCCCACGAGAAGACAGTCGCACTTGGACCCTCTTCGTGGATATACGGCACTCTATCCACAACCAGTCTTGGTAGATCGAGAGGGACTTCAAACAACAAGAGCACGGTCAATACATGAGTGCGAGTACGCCGGGCGGCAACCAGCGGCCTCTACAATGTTTGAGTCTTCTATAGCCGCCTTGTTCTCCACATCTGCAATAGGAGCAGGGCGACACCATTGTCATACTGAGAAGGAGTTCCGCTCCAGTTTCTTGGAGCCTGTGAAAATGAGAACATGGATACCCCCCTTCTTTTCCCCCCACAATGTTGTGCCAGGCCCCGTGCACATTCCTCGCAGATCTCGCGATGGAATCTGTTCCAAGCTTTGTCCAAACGCCTTCATTATGATCTTGACTCTCCATTTCGCGTGTTCGTTGAAGCGCAACCGTCTGCCTGCTGTTGCCGATCATGGCTGTCCATTCCTTTTCTCCCCGATGCGCGGCTTATCATACACTTTTTGTGTGTTTTGTGTATTTCCACAATGTCCTTGGCTTTACTAGCTCAATCTATCAGCTGGACTCGGAGTATTCGGGCTCCAATTTCTTTCAAGGATGGGACTTTTTTACCGTGAGTCGTATGAGTGCACGCGATTTCTCTGACAAGGCTGACGCTGAACAGGGCGGCGACCCAACAGGAGGATTTGTAACGTGAGTGATAGCGAACAAAGAATCGAGAAGCAAGGCCTTATCGTCGAACAGGTATTATAGCCAGGGCTCTGCTGAACTCATGGGCATGATCAATGCCAGCGACAGCTCAGCAATCTATATCGGTTCCGACTACAACACGGTGATCGGATCCACACAAGCAGCAGGGAGACCCAGCGTCCGCATATCCACGCGAAGATCATGGACCCATGGATTGTTCATCGGGGATTTCAATCACGCGCCGGGAGGAGTTTGTGGAAGTTGGCCTGCATGTATGTTCTTTTAGCGAGGGATGGAGACGATGCGCTAATCAATCACAGTCTGGACACTGGGACCCAGCTGGCCTAACAACGGCGAAATCGATATCATGGAAGGAGCAAATATGGCCAACTACAATGCGGCGACATTACATACGTATGTGGACACGAGGATGTTGTGGGAGACGTTGCTGATGGATGAAATAGGAGCCCAAATTGTACGATTGCTGGGGATAGCAGGACCATGACAGGCCAGTTGTCGAATAACAATTGCGCCTACTATGTAAGTGACATGGTTATTTTCGGGTGGAAGATGCTAACAGGGCCATAGCCTGGCTACAATGTCGGCTGCGGTATCCGCGATAATCGACCGGCCAGCTACGGCACCGGCTTCAACGCCATCGGTGGCGGCGTCTATGCGATGCAGTGGACTTCAGACTTTATCAGTGTGTGGTTCTTTCCCAGAGGCTCGATTCCTAGCGACATCACTAGCAAGACTCCTAATCCTTCGTCCTGGGGTCTGCCGGCGGCCAAGATGCAGGGTTCTTGTGTCTTTGACCAGCATTTCCAAGCCCACAAGATCATCCTGAACAATGCCTTTTGCGGAGAGTATGCGGGAGCAACCAGTGTGTGGAATTCGACGACAAACTCTTGCGCCATCAATACTGGCTATTCCACCTGCAACGCCTATGTGGCGGCTCAGCCTGGAGCATTCCAACAGTCGTACGTATTGCAGTACCTCCTCTGGACCATACCCTGGGACTGACCCGTCAATAGCTACTGGAGCATTAACTCGATTCGGGTCTATCAATTGGTGGATCCTAATGCCAACGTCAGCAGCAATCCCACAACATATATTGCAAGCGATCAGCCTACTCCGTCCAGCACATCAACGATCTCATCCTCAACCCCAGTACCAACGACGAGTTTGTGCCCGACGTACAACTTCACCGTCGTCCAAGCCGGGAATTACAAGTACGAAGTTGAATGTGGAGTCAACATCGGCGGGTCTGATATTGGACGACCATATCCCAATTACCCCGTGAACTCGTTCGAGGACTGCGTGGCTGGATGTAGCTACTGGAATACCTTCAACATCAGCAACATCTGTGGCGGCGTGACATACAGGGTCAGCACCAGAGCATGCTTCTGGAAACGAAACGTCGGAAGCACTCCCGCGGACCCCAACTTCAACAGCGCCAGGCTCATTTACTATGCCTATCCTCAGGTGACGGACGACCCGCGAAAGCGGACCTCGAGCAGCAGCAGTACATCATACGTGGCGACTTCAGTCACGCCCCAATACTATGTCGCTGTGGGAACCACTTCGTCAACGTCGTTCTCGCTGATCTCGGAGACACCGACGTCGAGCTTTACGGATGGTGTTCCCTTGGGGGGGACGACGACCGACGATGGTTCTTCCACCACGTCTGATGTTTCGACGACAACGGTGGTAACCACGGGGAGCAGCTCTCAGAATACGTCCACAGCTACGGTGAGCTCATCCTCGTCTATCGCGTCTTCGACTTCCCGATCTTCAACCGTGTCATCAACCAGTACCGCCTCTACCACCTTTACCTTGTCCAGTGTTTCGTCGACTTCCAGCCTGTCAACAGCATCGACCACGAATCGACCTCCTTCTTCTTCTTCACCTTCTTCTTCTTCGTCATCGTCAGCGGCAACGTCAACAAGAAGCCCTACCGCGACCTCAACTAGCGGGCAGCCATCCTCTTCAAGCTCGACAGCGTCAAGCTCATCGTCCATACCGGCCAGTCAACCCACAACCGTCAGTAGTGCGGGTTCAACCTCTACTTTGGGGTCATCGTCGTCAACTATGTCCCTTTCATCCCATTCTGTGAGCTCCTTTGCGACTTCTGGCGCGTCTGCTACCACGACACCGATGCAGTCGCAGTCTCAGTCTCAGTCTCAGTCTGATACTCTATCCTCGTCGACGACCGCAACAGTGTTCAGCCTCAGTTCAGCATCCACAAGTGCAGGTCTTCCTAGCACGAGCACTTCCGACCCAGGTGTCTCTTCTTCCTCTGTTACAACTTCGTCTCCTTCATCTTCCTCAACTCCATCGACTGTCTCTTCCTCAATCCCGCCGTCATCGCCTTCAACAACGTCTTTAGACTCTCCAACATCTTCCACGGCTAGCCAACCGTCGGCGTCAACGACGAGCAGCTTTGTTGATGATTCCACGTCTTCGTCTGCGTCATCTTCACCTCCCTCAACATCCACTTCTCTTTCTGAAGATTTCTCCTCCACCCCGACTTCACATACTATGATCAGCTCCAGCTCCAGTGCCGGCTCGAGCTCCCTAACCCCCAGCGGCTCTGTTAGTTCTTCAACAACCCCCCCGGCCTCGACCACGACCGCGGTATCAACCACACCCACAACGACGAATACTCTGCCGGGTCCAAACCAAGTCTCCTCCTTTACATTCGCAGGCTGTCTGGGACCACGGCCGGACACTGCGTTTGCCAACAGCTTCACACTGGTGGAGGACTCTCCGCTCATGTCGATAGAGAGATGTGTCGATGACTGTTCATTGGACGTGTACGCCGGTCTCTTTGATACGTAAGTTTGGAGTCTCTCTCTCTCTCTCTACATTTCAACTGTCTTCGCCCTAGCGACCGGCGTGAATGTGAATGAACGTGGTTCACAAGGCTGTCCGCCCGCTGAGGGTTGATCTATGCTGACGCCTACCTCTTTTCCAGGCAATGCTACTGTTCCACATACTCGCTGTCTCTGGACACCGACACCGCGTCTTCCGACGACTTTGTCCGCTACCCGGATTCGGCATGTAACACGACGTGTCCGGGCAATCCTGCGCAGAAATGTGGAGGGGTGGCCCGTTTTCCTCCCCCGACGAGGCTTGGTAAGAGACAACTCGTCGACGCGAACGGCGACATTGTGCTCTTGACGTTGTATAACAACACGGGTGCTGATGTGGGCGGTTCATCGTCGTCGACGACGACAGCGTCGATTTCTTCGGTGGATACGACGGTCGTGTCAACGGCATCGTCATCATCCGTGACGGCGTCGAGTAGCGGGAGTGCGAGTGCGAGTGTTTCAGCAACAGCAACAGGAACAGCATCACCATCGTCATCGACATCGACAACACGAGTACCGACATTATCAACAAATTCCGCCCTCTCATCCTCATCCTCATCGTCATTCTCCTTCTCCGACTCGGTGATTTTCATCACACCCACCTCTTCTCCATCGCCATCTTCACAAACCTCCTCACCGACACCCTCCCCCACAACCATATCGACCACATACACCACCATCTGCGCGTTACACCCTACCTCCTGCCCCGTACGGACAGAAATCTGTCTCGCGACAACCATCACGGTCCTGCACTGCGGATGCACGGATATGCCTGAAGCGGCGGTGCCTATGACGACTACTGTCGTAGCCGCGTGCTCGACCTCGACACTATCTCCCGGAGTGGGTGGGCAGGGCGACAGCGATAACGAGGTGGAGGAGGAGATGACAACCCTCACGGTCCCGTGTACCCAGTCCATTTCGGCCTTGGAGGACGCTGTCTCGAGCTGGTCTGCATCTTCTTCTGTCTCTGCACAGATCGGCGCGGGTGCACACGCATACGCATACGCAAACGCAAACGCAGAAGCTACAGCCACAGCCACAGCCATAGCTCCTGCCAACGCTGACACTAATGCGCACCCGCACAGCTACGTCTCGTATAGCTTCCCCATCTCGTTTCCCATGGCCACGACCACGACCACAACCCCAGTCGCCGAGACGGATATCGTGACCGAGAACCTCGTCCTCGCCACCACCGCAAAGTTCAATTTCTCCCTGCTTCTGAAGAACGTCACCGTGAGTCCGATACCTTTACCTTTGCCGGTGCCGGTGCCAGCGCCGTCGTCAGCTGCGTCGAACGCGTCGAGTGTATCTGGGGCGGCGGTGGAAGTTCATCAGCCTTCTTCTCTTTCGCCGAAAAGATGGTCTAGGGCGTGGTCATTGGTTCTGTTCTCCGTCGTCGTCATCACCATCGGGCTGACTTTTTAGTTGAGTTTACTCTTGGGATTGCCATTGCCAGTATTGGACTTTTTATCGGATCCTGGGAGATCTGTGGGTGAGATGGGAATGGACTGGATTGGATTGGATTGAATTAGAGGGTAGCTTGTATTGTCCTGTAGCTTTCTTGTGACTTGCGTGAAGCCTGCAGGAGCTTGGAGCCTGTCAGACATGAAATATCTATTCTACCTGTCTGCCTGTCTGTCTACCTGTTTACCTGTCTACCCATCTGTGAGGATGTGTAGACGTGTAGACTAACGATCTTGTTCTGGCTGGAACCCTGAGGGCATTTTATCTGATCCATCTACCCTAGCACCCTGCGTGGGTCGATCAAAGGTACCCTTTTCTAAAGTACTCTACCGACCCTACCGTCCCTACCGACCGTGTAGTGCACGAATGGTACAGTGCAGGTGACATACCTACCTACTTGCCTATCTACCTAGGAAGGTACATACGGTATTCCCAAGAAAGGATAAAGTAGGAATGGAAGAAAGAAACCAGAGACAGAAACAGAGGCAGAGGTAGAGGTCTAGTGTGGTATGATCTGAATCATTCGTCATGCTGGAATCGGTTTCTCCCTTTTTAGTGGGAGAAACTCGGACCTCATTTTGGGGTCATTGATTCATTTTCAATTCTTCATTCGTCCCTTCTATTAGCAATCACTCGTTGTCGTCGCGGTCCATAGACGCCAGCACGCCAGCCCAGATCACCTTGCCAGCTTGCCAGCTCAGTCGGTGAAACTAATTCAGTCCTGTGCCGTTCCCTTTTGTCCTGTACTGTCCTGTACTGTCCGATCCAGTCCGATCCAACCTTATCCGACCAAACCCAATCCGGCCCGCAGTCGAGTCGTAGCCGTGCCCATTCCCGTAACCACATTGACTCCTCAAAGCCCTGAGCCAGCGCGTGTCCCTTGTCCCTGTTCAGCCTGTCGAGCTGATCGTATTCAATAGACCTCGTTCAGCCTTCTCGCTACCGCCGAGACCCAACTCCAAATCCACGTGAGACCGGGCCCGGCCAGAGCATTCATGCCACAATTCCAAGAACCATGACGTCTGAACATGTTCCTCTCGTAGAGGGTGGTAATCCAAGGATGACGGATACTGGCCAGATCAATGACAGCCCACACCATAAATATGCCATTGCGCCTTTGCCAACACGTCCCGAACTAGCGACTGGAAAATTTCCTCTTATGGTCCCCACCACAGCATTCGAGTTCGACAAAGCACTCCCCAACCATGTCGTCCCTCTCGTGCGGTTTGGCTCGGACCCAAGCTCGACTATCCCTCCCCAATTCTCGGATATAATAATCCGTAGGTTGATGCTTCTTCTCCCACTCTCCCAACTTGACGTCGAGTTGTCGGGGGCCCCAGGTCCTCGAGCCAAAGATGATCTTCCAGGCACCGATGAGAAAGCGGCAGAGGGCCACGTACGAGGTCGGAGGCAGCAACGTAAGCTCCTCGTCACTTGAAAAATGGGACCAACCTCGGTCATTCTTCTGGACCGTCACAGGCAAGGCATGCCCAAAAGCACCATCGAAATCACACCCACTGGGCAGGCGGATATCTGTTTGATCGTTATCCACGCGACGAAGAGCCTCCATCCAACTGCTCTCCCTGATGCTTATCTGCCGGTCCGCTTGATGGAACCATGGCAGACCGTTCTCAACATAGATTTGGATCTTGTCAAGGTTCATTTTACGGAGCTCGTCAAGGATCGCCTCGTATTCCTCGACTCTGAGTTGCGCCGAGACTCGGTTGAGGTCAAGGGTAAGTACCTTTAGCCTGGGACACGAAAGCCGGATCGACTGAAGTTCCTCTGCCGAGAGAGCGTCTCTGGGATGAATACTTTCAGGGGCTTCACACTCGTGAAGCTGAAGGTCCCGAAGAGTCGCTCCATGACGATTCAAAATGGTGGACAATGGCACTTTCCCCCTCCACGACCAGAGACTCAACGTCTCCAAAGGCGGGCAGGTGGCAATATATTCTTTTACTGCTCCCAAAAATACGTCGGACCGAGGCTCCGCGCCAAGGTTCGTGCTGAAACTCTTCAGATTCGTCAGCAGTTTGGGGGCGCGGTCGAAAAAGGACGAATAGATAGGACCCCTGCTACACTTCAAGCCTCGCAGGCTTGCCAGATTGACGTACTCGGACCAGCACTCCAGGCATTCAGCAGAGATTCCCCAACCATCCAAGGTCAGGTGACGAAGCGATGTGCCCTGCTTCCCCTCCAGATCTGGAGGAAACCAGCTGTCGAGATTGGGTCGGAGGATGGTGACGAAGGGACTGTACGACTCCATCGGGGGAAAAGAAAGTATCGAGGCGAATTCCAGGTTTGGGGCCGATTTCAAAATCATGTGAAAGACCAAATGATCTTCGATACACGTGGCCTGCATGGTGGTCATCGACAACGAGTTCAAACAAGTCGCTGCCGCCAGGACCTTTTCCGATTCCAGTGGGATTTGTGCGAGCCCCAGTCTCCTGGCACGGAAGATGTCCAGTTTCACCTTTGGCTGATGGGCCTGCAAGGTCTCGACGATGCCTTTGGTTGGCAGATAGCTGGTCTTCCAAGTCAAGGTCTTCAGATTGCTGGCATTGCGGAGGACACTCTGTAGCCGGTCCAGCTTCTCGCAAAGGTTTCTGGCACCGGGGAGATCGCCGTTGCCGAGCTCGAGGACCAGCGCCGGGAGGTCGCCCTTGCAGGCTGTAAGGTGTCGCAAGCCTTGGAGGAGTTCCGGTGTTTCCCATTCTTCTTGTTTGTGACCGGCCATGTCAACCCAGGATTCCCGTTCGCAGTCCCAGTGCACGGTGATGTGACGGTAGCGGACAAGCTGAGTCACGAAATTGAAGTACTTGCAGGTTCGAGCCACCGCTGCCATCGTGCGAGGGGATTCGTTGTCAACGTACTCAAGGACATGGGCGAGGACTTCAGCCTCGAGGCTGAGGATGTTTTTGTCGGTCATGCTTGCTGGCTGTACAGTAAGATCAGAGGTGGTGTGTTTGAACTGATAACTCCGTCTCTCTCTATCTCTACTTAAGTTTCCCTGGGTACAAAGGTCTCTGCCGTTTGCAGTGAGGTGAAAGGAGTGAGGCTCTTTGTCAAATATGGCAGAGCGCAGCCGTGGAGATCGAGAAAGACGAGTGAGGTCATTTGAAGGTACAAAGCAAAGGCCAGAGGGGCGACCGCAGAGTCCAGTCACATCGAACTGCCTGTGTTGGCGAGGTCAGGCAGTTGTGAGGCTGAAGTGAACAAAGCTCATTGACAGAGCGCGGGGTTAATGGATACTGATTCGTCCGACGCGTGCCAACGCGACTCAGGCACCAGCTCACGTGGCTCACGTGGCACTTTCGATATCAGCCTGATTAGTCCCACACGGCTTTGGGAGCGAAAAGCGAGTGCCGAGTACTGAATAGTGAGTGCTGAACGTGTCTCATGTCTCTCTAGCTCTATGCTTGTATGCGGATCGTCGACGGCCCCTCTAATATGCCTGGCATATTAATGCGTCCCACCAGTGCTGCCAAATTCCATGCCCTTCTCGCCCATGTGCCTCTAAAGTCCTGAACGCCTCGCTATCATCAGGTGTCTATGTGACCCGTCCTCACAACTCTATCCAACCCGATTTGTGTCGCCCGAGTAGCTAGCCGCTCTTCTGTGTCTTTCGGTGGGTGTCTAGATGTCTTCGTCGATGATGGCTTCATCCAATTCCAAAAGCATCGATTCCTCAAGTAAACTGCTGCTCGCAACATAGCTGAACCCCCCAAACGGATCAGACTTGCTCAATGTTCGGCTGTGTCGTCGCGTAAGAGTGTCAATCGCCCTGTCAGTGAATTCTTTGGCAAAGTTCTCGGCCAACTCCGGGTTGGTGACCAGCGGCCTGATGGGTGGTTCGAGCTCCTTGGCCTCCAGCTTCTTCCAGTCAATTTTCCGGAAGAATCGGTGCTTCTTGATGACGTTGATGTCGTTAGGACCAACTCCAAGTCGCTTCTTAGGCTCCTTGCGCAATAGTCGCGTGAGAAGGTCTTTGGCGTCTGGCGATAGGAAGTAGGGTAGGCTCAGCTTCTGGTACATGATATTCTGCTGGATCTTAGTCCAACTGCCGCCACCAAAGGGAGGTTTGCCCGTCATAAGATCGCAAGCCATCGCACCCAATGACCACCAGTCGCACGCTTTCCCGTATCCCGGACCCCAGTCAGATTCGTCACTGCCTCTGATGATCTCGGGAGCCATGTATTCGATCGTGCCCACACCCAGACTGTTGCAACGACTCCCGCCTGGGGTGCTCGGGTCCTGCACAGCGACCTTGCTCAGACCGAAATCTGTCAACAGCAAATGGCCCTCGGCGTTCAACAAGCAATTCTCCGGTTTGAGATCACGATAGATGACGCCGACTGTGTTGTGGAGATAGTCCAGTGCCAAAACAATCTCGGCGATGTAAAATGCAGCCACTTCCTCTGAAAAGAACTTTTCCAATTCCAGGTGACGGAACAGTTCACCGCCTGAGGCATATTCAAGAATCAAGTATAGCTTTTCGTGGTCCTGGAAGGCGTAGTAGAGATTGACAATGAATGGATGACGATTGACCAACTCGAGAATGCTGCGCTCGGACATGGTTGATTCGATGCGCTTCTTGTGAACCTTGAGAAACGCTTTCGTGAGTTGCTTTTGAGCAAACAAACGACCCGTGGCATTCTGTCGTACGAGAAGCACCGTTCCAAAGGCCCCATCTCCGAGGCAGCGGATCGGAGTGAAATCTGCCGCGGTCATCTTGCGGACAATCATCGAAGTCGCGCGCTGATCTGCGTCCATGGTGGCAGTAGATGCCGCCGATGCGACTTCGGTCTCCGCCAGCGACTGACTGACGAAGTCTTGATCGATCTGGACATGGTAGCTGACCATATCTTCGTGCGGCTCCTCCCCTTGGGTGTCCGACGCGGCACTGGCGGCGCTGCTGTTCGCCTCCGAATCCAGAGTATTGCGCACGCGCGAGTTAGAGCGGCTTTGACTGCGGGAATTCAGAGCATCAAGCTGGGCCTTTAAGCCGCTGACACCCGGCGACTGAGGTCTCAGTCCTGGGCTGGCACCAGCCAACGCAGGCAAACGAGGGATAGGTGACAAAACCCGTGGGCTGTTGCGTGACACGTCCGACTCTTCAGCTCCCGAGTCAACGGGCGTGAATCCTCTGACAGTACTCAGTGCTTGGGCCGCATGGGCCGCTTTGGTCTTGTTTTTCTTCTTCTTCCTCTTTGCCGCGGTCGTAGACAGGATGACGCTGCCCTTGACTTCTTGTCTTCCTCTTTCGCTCTCCAGTTCGACGAGAGCCTCGTCTTCGCGCGTACCGACCGGCATAGTTTTTTGCGGTGTCACAGGAGGACTCTTGTTTCGAAAAGGGATGATTTCCGGATCGCCTTGGTCCGCGTTGTTGTTCCCCAACGCAATGGAATTGAGTGCGTCCTCAAAATCGGCCGAGACGTCGGCGGGTGGTGGCATCCCAGTGGGAGTTTCTGGAGCCTTGTCCATGATGGCCTGAGTAGTTGAGATACTCATATTCGCGGGTTCTTTTTTGATGATACCCACAAGTTAAAAAGGGGGAAGGTTGAGAGTTAGATTAAAACACGATGCTCGAGGCCCAGGCGGCTTGTAGTATTACCGTCCGCCCTTGTTCAGGACGGACCTTGCGCCAGTAGCCAAACCAGAAGATGGCCAGTCTTGCACGATGCGAGTGAAGATGACGTTGGAATCACATGGGAAAGTGCAATCCGTCCGCGAGCGGCAGGAGTGAAGTCTGAAATTGTGGCTGAGGTAGTGACGGCGCTTTGACCCATTGAAGGTGACAAGAAAATCTACTCTAACCGTAAGTGACCGAGATAGATGAGACGCAAGAGAGAGACTCGTAAAAAGGCCCAAAAGAATAAAGACAGAAGAAGAGGTTCAAGTCCAAGGAGGAGAACGGGGGTGGTGGACGAGGTCAGCAAAAAAAGCCACTGGAGCGCAGCCTGAGAAATTCTGGAGGCGGCAGAGGCGCCCAGTGCCCAGTGCCCAGTGCGTTGTCGGCCAACGAAAGCGGGAGGATCGCCTAAAGCCCCCAATCAGACCATGGCTAAATAGGCTCCCCCTGCAATTTTTTCATCGCAAGCAGCCTTGGGCCGCGGCCCCGTGTCACCACAGATCTGCCCCAGATATAGCCCGTGCTTCTCCAGAGGCTGGCCAGGCTGGCTTAGTTCCCGGCTCTCCGGCTCGCAGAGACCAGCCGAATGTCAGTTCTGTTGTTACGAGAATCATCTCTGGGGACCGGATTATTATTATTCCGCCCTTCCACCACTACAAAGTCATACCATGCTTTTGTTCCCAAGCCTTTCCAAAGCACACCATAACCTTGCCACCAGATAATCCTCCGCATTGCTCGTTCCAGTGAATCACGCATATAAAAACCCGCTCGTCAGACCAGACCAGACCACGTCTTCCTCTTTCAGCATGGCAGTTTCCATCATGGACAAAGTTATTCTGAAAAACATGAGGTTCGACATTCCTGTCGGCCTCGATGCCTGGCGTCGTTTCCGCAAACCCCAGCCTGTGTCGATCACCATCGAGGCTCAGCCAACATCAACCCTTGAGCCGGCGGCTTCCAAGGATGATGTGAATCTCTCCATGGATTATGGCAAGTTGTACAAGAGGATCACCGCGGCATTCAAGGACGCCGATCCCGAAGCCTTTCCCACCATTTATGCCCTGATCGGTTTAATCTCCAACCTGGTACCAAACTGTGGTCTGCTCACCATCGACATTGCCCTCCCCAAAGCTTTGCTGCAGGCCAGAGGCGGCGTGCTGTACCAATATCAGGTCGACAAGTCCGAGCTGGAAATTGACACGTCAAGCCTCACTGTGACGGTTAAACAGATTGCCTGCACCTGCATCATCGGAGTCAATCCCCAAGAGCGCATCTACAAGCAGACCTTATTCATCGACATTAGCGTACCTCTTGTCGACCCTGCTCTGGGAATTGGTGCTCTGGAAGAACATTACACCGCTGCTCTGCACGACATGGTCCAAACGGTGGTTGAACGCGTCGCAGGTTCAGCGTACCACACAATCGAATCTCTGGCAACGGCCGTGGCCCAGATTGTAACAATGAACTATGGACACACGTTCGCCAAAATCCGCATCGAAAAACCGAGCGCCATTGCCTCCATAGAAGCCGCCGCTGTCGAAATTACCCGCAGCAAAACATTCTTCGAGAACAAAGACTTCTGGAAGGTCAAGCTCCCGTAACATTCAGAGACTAATCCTTTAATCGGACGTTAGGTCGATTATGCTCAATCGAGCACGACGGGGGGACGCTAGAGAAGGGTATATCTGAGTACTCGAGCCCGATTCGCATTCGACTTCTTTCCACGTGCCTGGAAGACTTGACCTGGGAATTGCATGGATGTGCATGGCCGAAGATGGGTTTGCAGACTTTTCCGACGTTAGCTTTGGCAGAACTTCGACTGGACGACTTTCTCCTTCGACTGGTGCTGCTTGGGACGGTGGCGCCTTCTCGCGCACATATGGCCTAAAGAAACTCACGATACGCCGTTGAGGTTCGACGAGGCTCTCACTCGATCCTCCAACCTCGGTGAGAGCTCGGTACTTATTTGCTCTTTTCCTGGGCGTCCGCCGTGTGATGTTGCTGAGCGAATCCAAGGCTTCCTGCGTTTCTCCATGGTCCACTGCTGAGTTGGATTTTCCCCGGACTGGCGAAGAGAAGGGGAGGGATTCCTCTTCGATCGCATTTCTGGATAGGTCCTCTCCCGATGTCACCTTTGCGAAGACCTTCTCTGACCTTTTTTCGCGTTGCGAGAGCACAGGTGGCCTTGTATCGTGGAGCATCGGGTGAATCATGTTTCCATAAAGCGGAGATGACTTGTGTACGATCCGCCGTCCCGTCTTTGTCGAGCTTGAAGTCGAGGGCCTTGAATGTTTGCCACTACAGGTCTGCTCGCTGAGTATGAATGGGTCGTCTCCACTGCCAATACCGGTTCTGACAGTGTCAAACGATACACTGTCGCGTGCTGACGCTGTCTCATGGAAATCATGACGACTCTTGGTGGACTTGAGATGCTCAAATATCGTGGGGGACTGCCCATCGTTCATCTGGCTGGATTTGGATTTGGTGGACTTGGACCTTCGTGGTTCGCTGACGTTGGCCTTTGGGCGGGGACGAGGCGATGAGATGGACTTTGCAGGGTATACCTCAGGCACAGCAGCCTCTTTGGCAGTGACGACGTAGTTTAAAAGAGCCCCAGGCTGCATACCTCCAGTCGTTTTCGACTTTTTCTCTTTCTGCTTTGCACACTTCCGCGCAGCAAACTTCTTGGGATCATTGTTGATCTCGAACTGGATCTGTTCCCACCGTCGGACGTGCTCGCGAGCCCCGATCTCGACAATGGTCTGGGCAATCCACATCTTTTCTGGCGCATGGGGCAGCCAGGGAGGAGATTTGCGTTTCTTGGACGGGCTCAGAGGCGCATTTCCGTCCGTACCTGCGTTTTCCGGTTCTCCCTCCAACCCTTCATTCTCTTCTTCGGCAAGAAGTTGTAGATATTCGGGGCTGTCCTTTTCCGCAGCGAGATCCAGTCCAACGACTTCCCCTGGGATCACCGTCACCCTGAGTTCTGGGATTCCGTCACTCACAAAATGCTGCCGTCGTTCGGTGATTTGGTCAGAAGATGTGATATGCGATGCTGCTGCACCACGTTGTAGCCGGTCCGCAAGGAGAGCCGGGGCCATCACTCGCACAAACTTCCAAGCACCTGGTTTGTACATCCAGTCGAACATTTCCGCAGCATAGACACGCAGGGCTTGCATATCGATTTCTCCATCCCAGGCCTTGACCCATGACTTTTCCAATCTCTTCAATTCGTCCGCTGGTGTGACTGCAGGATTCATATAGTATCCCAGTATCTTTCTGTCGGGGAAGTTGTCGGGAATGCGTATCGATTTCCTTTTCATCTTGAAATAGCCGCTTTCGTTGGTCTCGAGCTCGAATTGTAGTCGTTCCCTCCATTCTGTGATTCCATTTTCGTCTCCGCTCCTCACTAGGTCCAAAAGGTCGCTTCCAAACCCTGCCCTGGCGATCTCGCATGCCAGCGTACTTCCAATTCCGGCAACGCCATCCTCATCATAATCACCACCGCTCAAGAGTGCTACCAGAATCATTCCCTCAGGATCTAACCCGCTGAGCTTCTTCACCCGATGCAAATCCAAAACGCTCACATGTGTAGCAGTCTTGTTGCCTTTCTTCCCATTTCCCTCCTTGGACCAATCCCGTAGCGTGAGGCCAGAGCCAAACATGATGGCATCAACATCCTGTGTCATAACCGCATCCACGATCCCTTTCCGCTGAAGCATCGCACACTCTGCCTCGGCTTCCCCCGGCGCCACGTGCGTGGGATATCGAAACAGAGAAACTAAACCCTTTGACATTTCGCTCTCGACGCATCCCCCATGCCATTTCGACACTGTCCGTCCCCGTTTCGTGAGAGGTTTATTCTTGCCATCATAGACGAAGACGGGCTGAACAGGCAAAGCTAGTAACTTGACAAGGCGGTAGAAGAGTGTCCGAAGGGCCGGGTTTTTGCCCCCTTGCCCGCCGTGCTGAGTCTGGAAATTCCAGATTGCGGCATCAATGGCGATGCGAAGGGGTCGAGATTGTTTCTGCAAATGCTCGATAGAGAGGCGGGAAAGAGCCACGCGTTCGCCTTTGCCGATTTCTTTCAAAAGGCTGTCATAAAACGGCAAGCATGTCAGGGTTAGCATAGGATTCTGCTCATGATGCTGGGGCTTTTTTTGGTTCCCCTTTTCGATGGATTGGCCTCTTGGTTCTTCGAGGCAACAATATTGCTTGCCATAGGCTTTATGCCACCGTCGATCAGGAATATGTGGTTGATATGGGTCGACTTACCCAGGGATGCCCATCTCCTCAACCAGAGGTTGTCCTCACATTTGAGTAATTTTAAACGTGGCCTCTTGCCTCCTATCCTTTCATCGCTCGATTCTCTGGGGCGTGGCGTCGTTGAAGCTGTTGAAGCCGTCGTCGTTTCTTCCCCTTTTGAGTTCATTTGTTGACATGGCAACATGGTTGACGTTCTTGCTTCGCGGCAAAACTTCGGCTGTGGCACAATGGAAATTGGCAGGCGATAACCACCCACACCTACGTGACCTACCTAGGTACAGAGGTGTGGCAGGCTCGTTCTTTGCTGGGAAAAGTAAAACCCACAGTCGGGATCGGGACGAAGATATGTTGCGGTTGTGCGGTTTGATCACTCGGAAGGAATGCTACGAGACGAATATTCGGCCATACAGAAGACGAGGCTGTTGTACACAGGCATTGATGCAATGCCAGTAATATGTCATTGAAAGCAACCCCCCAGGTATCATTTTCATTATTCTCACGGGAACTCCCAACTCCAGAAACATTTTCCAACGGTTATTAACGTCACGGACCCCGGACTTCGTCAAAAAACTACATCAGCTGACAGGATCTCGCTTGCCGGATCAGCCGTCCCAACCACAGCCTTGTTACTCTTCAACCAGCAATTCCGATTCCAATCGACCACGTTCTGGTCCAACCCTGCCTGAAATACCGCATGTATGCAGGTGGTGTTCGAGCCACCGTTCATTTCTGCGTAGTGGTTTATGGAAGCACATGCCTCGACGCAATCCTGCCACGTGTAGACAAAAACGGAAGCGAGATCGCCGTCATTGTACAGAAAGTCGCAGTTCAGACTGAACAATTGGCCCTCCCACTTGGATGGGTAGCTTTGACCATCCAAAGTTGGACAGTCAAGGGCGAGGCTCGATATCTGGGTGTCGACTAGAGCGGTGTAGTCAGTAGCGAGGGCGGCGGAAGCAGAGACAGATGAAGGAATTGATGAAGTTGGTGCTGAAGCTGCCAAATGTATAGTTGAAGTTGCTGTTACCGCTTCCGAGGAAGCTGTCTTCAAGGCTCTGCTCTATTGTCAGCCACATGTTGTAATCTGCGATAGGTCGATGTCTTTGCCAGTCCCATACCTTTGAGAATTAGCGCAGGCGCCACCAACTCCTCCTCCGACTATGGCGGCTACAATTATAGCAGTGGCCAGAGCTGTGACAATTCCGAAAATCGTTGGAGTCCAGCCAAATGGTAGCCTGTGTTGGTTGTTTCTATCGTTGCCGTCGTTGCTTGCACCACTGGGCAATATGTACTCTGTCGATTTCTCTGTGCGATCAAGCTCTTTAGGGTGATAGACTTCGGGATAAGAAGGCTGGAGTTGTCGTCAGAAGACCGCACTCTTGTAGATAGAGCTTCAATACAAACCTGATAGGACTCTGGCAAGGTACTATAAGGATCGACTTTACTCCCGCGAGCAGCCATGCTGGCAACGGAAAAGGCTTGAAGGCTGTCGGTGTAATTCTGGGGTAGATACCTGCCCTTCGCCGCAAAGATGTTGATCCCGAGATACGGGTCAAGTGAGAGCTCGAGAGGAAGACCATTGGCGTTGACCGAGGTGGGAATCAATGTAGGAGTAAATAGAGCGAGATGGATGTCAAAGACCGGCTGCCACGAAGGCCACATATGAAGCATGAAACGTGAACATTGTGTCGGCCACGTTCAATCTCTGCGCTGTGCGGCCCCCTTGACGCCGAATTAGAGATTTTGCAAGTCGTCTGTAACGGCTCGAGGCGACGATGCCGACCCAGTGTTTCTGAGATGAGCATTCCTAAAAAGGACGCTCTGAATTGATTCGACACCTTGCTAGCGGGGCGTCTACCGTCACCAAGCCGTTACAGCTGCCGCTTGGTGGTGTCTAGCCCAGGGCCAAGTGGGGGCCGATATGTAAGGAACACGGAAAAATCCGATCCAATTGATCAATCGAAGTAAATATAGAGGTGCTCAGAGGCGCAATGTATCAGGGATTGGATCGCAATGTGAAAGGTCGATCGGTCAAGGATAAAAGAGTGGGAGTTTGGGAGTGGACATACCGAGTGTTTATTGGTGGCAGCTTCAGCAAGGCAACTTCTTTGGAGCGCTTTGCGGCTTGCCGAGTTCCCTGGTAGGTATGGAGTCGGCCCGTGTGCGAGAAGGTTGTAGATCAAATACGGAGAATACGAAGTCCTCCGCATCTATTTGCCTGTGCTTCCCATGATCCTGTAAGCTCTTTATGGACCTCGCCTTGCTTCTCCCTTCACAAACCCAGAAGGTTTAGGGAGAGCCATGGACGATCCCTCGCTGCACATGAACAGGGCGGTAGGTCGCTGTTGAGAACCAATCATCTTACCGAGCTGTGTCCTAGTTGAAACACGTACCAGCTGCTCGGACACGGCTGCGAATATCAATCGTTCTATCTCGATGCATATTAGACGATGTGAGATTCATCTTTGATATGTCGTAAAATTCAGCCAGCCGGCGCAATTAATTCTCTAACGTCAGTTAGTGTACCGAGTGTTTCGAAGATATATGAAAATGTAGATGCCGAATTAATATTGCTTTGATCTGTAGACGCGCTGATGACTAAGCCAGGGATCGCGTATCTGATTGGTCAAAGGATGTCGCGTTAATGGAGATTTTGCAACGACAACGTCTGATCTACGTGAACCAGCCTCCGTGCCACAAGCTCTGTACAACAATTCACTTATTTGCAAGGGAGGTGGGGGCGACGACAAGCAGAATTGACCGAGCAATGGCATCCACCGTCGCCTCCGCCATCCGCCCCAGTCTCCGCGAAGCATCTTCACGCCAGCAATCCGGCAGCCCTCACACACCCACCGGTCGCTTCATCTCCTCCGCCCAGTCTTCGCCCGGCTCGTACTCTTTTCGCGCCGAAGAAGATCCCATCATCATCGAGATTGACCCTCGTGGCCTCAGCGCTGGCTTTCAGGGCGAGAGTGGACCGCAGTGTTTCATCCCGTTCACCTCCCAGAACGCTGGGCGAGTGGGTGACTATCGCTCCTATCTCCCGGGATTCAGAAGACGCAGGCAAGATCTGGCATTGAAGAGCAAGGAGTATGAACTGTGGAGAAATGATCTGAGGGATGTCGACTTGGGGCTGTTGGAAGACAAGCTGGAACGAGCAGTGCGGGAGGCATACAACAAATATCTGTTGGTGGACGCGGGCACTGCACGTTTGGTTCTGGTCTTGCCTTCGTTAGTACCTCATCCCGTACTATCGACAGTATTGACACTTCTGTTCGAGCGATGGAAGTACTCTACTATCACGCTGTTGCCGGCACCCACCATGTCCATTGTTGGGGCCGGATTGCGATCGGGTCTGGTTGTGGAGGTAGGCTGGGAGGAAACGGTGGTGACGGCAATCTACGAGTATCGCGAAATACACGTCCGGAGGAGTATCCGCGCCATGAAGGCTTTGATTTTGAAGATCGGGGCGCTCTTGGAGAGAATCAAGAACGAGCAAGATGAGTCGATTCGTGATTCTCTCGTGCTGGATTTTGACTTCGTGGAGGAGTTTGTGGATCGCGCTGGTGCATGTCATGCATTATTTCCAATCGCGAAAGATGATTTAGCAGCAAGGACATCAAAATTGAATCTGGAGGACCAAGGAGATGCTGGGGCCTCTGGTGGTGAAACTCAAACCTTGGTGATTGACTGGCCAACGGATACATCTTCTCGACCCACCGCTATCTCGAGACGGGCATTGTGCGAAGCATCTCTCGACACACTAGTCGCACCAAAGACCGATGATTATCGGGACGATCATGAACAGTCAATTAGTCAACTTCTGTACGCAACGCTTCTGGCTGTGTCGTCGGATGTTCGGGGTATTTGCATGTCAAGGATTATCTTTTTAGGTAGGGGTTCATCTCTGGCGGGTTTGTCACAACAGGTCCTGGAAACAACCAATACCATCATCAGCGAGCACGGATGGACACCTATCCGGGGGAAACACACGAAGGTCAAGCGCAGCAGCCTTGCAGAACTGGCTCAAGCGAGGGCCGCCCCCCCTGATACTCGACATGACCTCAATCCCCCAGGGACCGACGACTTTGTTGAGCAACGACTCTTCAAGCAGAAATCGAAGGATGCGCAGCAACCTGTTACTGCCATCCTGCGGCAGGTCGAATCTCTTGGACCATGGGCTGGTGCCAGCCTTGTCGCCAGTCTGAAGGCGAAATCCTTTGTTGAAATTGAGAGGGAGAGATTCCTCTCTCATGGACTGGCCGGAGCACATCGCGACCTAGATCCTAGTGCCCTTCATCAACAGCGCAGCACAGCAACCAAAGGCAGCGAGAGGACTAGCTGGACATTGGCAGGATGGGGGTGAGTCAAGGATCTGGAACGCCACTGAGTGTGGTTCGGTCATCACTTTTATTCGTGTGGGATACAACGGTTGGGCATTGTGAATGTATGTGGTTGTCGTCGTTTCACTGTTCCGTCGTTGAGGCGATGTATCTCTTCTGCGCGCCACCTCAACGATAGTGAAATGAGTAGACAATACATTCCCTTTCTGCTCATTGTCTCGTGCTACCTTTTCTTTGTATCGGGATGCCAGCAGCAAACTCTAGCTCTCACCTCTTCTCTTCATGGGCCATGGCACCGTTGATACTCTGAGGGAATCCTGTCGGATTTGTGACGTCTCCCGAGCTTCTGATAGCGGTGATATATCTGCTGTGACTTGTTTTTTGTGGAAGGGGAATCGTCTTTTGCACGAGCTCAGGGGAAGAGCGTACGCCGACCGAACAAACGGGCTGCCATCGATGTTGCCGTTGATAGTGACGTCCGCTGGCCTCCCAGACCTTCTGTTGGCACAACGAGGACGTCATTGCCATCCAGTGACTTTGTCCTGTTGAAGCAAGTGCTACTCTCGACTAAACTACCAGATGAGTCTAACCAGGACGCCCTTCACCCCAGATCCCAAGTCAAAGACACCCACAAACAAACTCTTAAGGAGAAGCAGAAACAAACAAACAACATCCCCATCTACATCTACATCCACATCCACATCCACAACCACACCACGCCATCTCATAGTGACACATACATCAAATATGTCTTCCACGGAGAACCTGAACAGCAATGTCGAGGAGGAGGCGAACACCTCTAGCAACAGCTTGAACAGCATCAAGTCGGTCTTCTCGTCGTTGAGACGCGCTGCCACAAACGACAGCAAGAAGAGCGACGCGTCATCGGACTCAAAGTACGACCCGCTCACCATCCAGCCTGACCCTCTACCCGACAACCGCAGCGAGATTGAAGGTCTCCTCAACCGTCAGCTTAGCGCGCTCGACCACCTCCGCCGCACCGTCGTCGCGCGCAACCAAGAAATCAAAGACTACTGCTCCCGCGCAGCCTACTACTACAACCTGCGACCGCGAGTCGCGCCCTCGTTTCTCCGCCAGCTCGACATCGAGATCCATGTCCTTCGCCAGCAGCGCAACCGATTCCAGGCCCTTGTGGATATGCGCCACAATGAGATCGTGCGCATGGCCGAACATCGGAAGAAGCTGGATGCGGACCAAGGCCTGGATTGCAACGTCTACGACATGTATCTCGATTTCCGTCGCGTCTCTGAGTGGGAGCAGCTGTTCTCGATCTGAAAAGAAGTTGGTAACTAAATTGGCTTTTAACAGCAGACGGGGCATTGTGACAGCCAATAGTGACAAGGAGTTCAAAGGTCAAAAACAAGTCACCTTGCGACAACACCGAGGGCCTAGAGGATTGTGAAAATTCACATTATCATATGGGACACGGCAGGGGATAGCGTTAACAGCATTTGTCTTTCAAGGGGAGAATGGCGAGCTGGAGAGCTGAGAGAGATAATACAAGTGGAGCTTAGGCCCAAAGGGTCTTGGTATCAGGACTTTTTACGATATGATATCTGTCACGACCAACGTCGCATGGGGGGAGAGACATGAACATTGGCTTTGGCATAGTGTTCAAGCACAAGGATATTGCAAGAAACTTCTAGCTGAATGGACAGGGCACCGATGGGCGTGCGACAAAACGAGATGAAACAACCGGACATACAAATCGTGACGGATGATCTGGAACTTGTGCTTTGACTGACGGGCTGAACTTGGGATAAATCGTTGAGGGCATGGCATTCTTTTTCTTGTCTGCATTGGTATTTGTGCTTGGGGCGTGTGCCTTACAGTTGTTACTCGAGCAGCATTCGTTGCATTGGCAGCCTGATCGAGTCGCACAGAGATAGCTGACATCCATGCAAAGTAATTGATCACGATCCATATGGCAGTCGACTGAGTGACTGATTGAGTGACTAATGAGCCTTTGCTTGATTGATTGACCTGGTATCTCCATCATCCTCGGTGCTGCTGAACGACTTTATCTAGCCAGGAAGGATATGGACGTCCCCGAAAATATCCATTCGCTTTTGACGTGTATAGATAGTCAGTCGTGGCGCAGACGATGGGATGGTGGTGATGGCGGCGGCGGCGGCGAAGTAACTCGATCTTCGCAGTTGTCATCGTATAGTACAGCGCAGTACACTACAGCATAGTACAGCACAGCACAGCATAGTACAGTGCGTATCCTTTGGCTGCTGCTCATACCCTTGCTCTTGCTCTTGCTCTGCATTTTTATTCATCTACCTAGGTAACTCGTCCTTGTAT